CTGTCTCCTGGTGTCCTTCAGGCCATGTCCTCCCATCTCCTTAGTGACTCCTCTTCCTGTGCCAATTAGATCTCACAGATCCTCACAGCCCGTTTTTTATACTTTCCCTTACGTATCTACACATATATTCTACATACATATATGCCCTCTAGATAATTTTGTCCACTCTGACCATTTTTAATCATGACTCGCAAATTTTTATCTCCAGACCAGACCTTTCCCCTGGATTTATTCACATCCAGCTGCAGGTATTGCCTTTTGACCCCCGTGCCTTTGTGTATGTTGCTTCTCTGCCCAAAACACCCTGTCAGGTCAGGCTAACTCTTAACTCTAGACTTTACACAGATGCCACTCTCCCTAGCAGGCCGAGGGACACAGGTGTCTATTCTTGCAGTTATAGTATACATATGAATAAATTCTGACCAATGGGATGTTCACAAAGTCCCATTTTTTCATTTCTCTTTTCAGGAATGATGATGTGATTCCTATAATTTGAGATTATCTTGTGACTTTGAGGAAGAAACCACATGGTATTATTAGTTGAGAGAAACCACCTAGACTGCTAAAAACAACACTCTAGACCAGTGGTCGGCAAACTCACTGGTCAATAGAGCCAAATATCAACAGTACAACGATTGAAATTTCTTTTGAGAGCCAAATTTTTGAAACTTAAACTATATAGGTAGGTACACTGTTATTAACTTAATTAGGATACTCCTAAGGCTTAAGAAGAGCCACACTTAAGGGGCCAAAGAGCCGCATGTGGCTCGGAAGCCGCAGTTTGGCGACCTCGGCACTAAGGTAAGCTCTATTGTTATGCTCACTTAATAGATGACACTGAGGCTGAAAGAGACTGAGAAACACTCCCAAGTCATTCAACTAGTAAGGAACAGGATGTATCTGAACTTGTCTCATTCCAGAGAACTTGAGTTCTTAAACACCAGGGCATATGACTTTTCAACCACTGAAAAGGGGATTTGTGAAGAGTTTGCATGTAGTAGGCCAGTCATCAGCAATTATGAAGACAGACTTAACCTTTTGATTCCAGGCACACAAAACCAAACAGACCAGTTCTCAGAGACACAAAGACACAGCTGGCCCTGCAGAAAAACAAATAGGTTCTGCCCAAGTCACAGCCTGCCCCACTGACTGGCTTATCTCTGCAGGAAAGATTACGTGTGTCTATAAATACAACTGTGGATTTCAAACCTATTAAAAATCAGAATTCAGGTCCCATCGGTTTTTGTACTGATTTCTTCCATATGGTCTTGTACTTGAAGAAATATTGGCCTTTTAAATAAGCAGCCATACACTGGCAAGAGCCATTTGCTCATCAAGGGTCACAGGCTGAATTGACTTGGCAGGAGGTATGCATTTTTCAGTTAATAAATTATTCGGGTTAAAAAAACAAACAAACCTCAAAAACAGAAATGACGAGGGACTGATTGAACCTTGCAGCAGGGGAAGTAGTTCAGGAGAACCTAAGAATTTCAGTGGCAAGTGGAGGTGGGGTGACAGTCACTGCACCTTGTATCTTGCCTGTCTTACCTTTCAAGTAGCAGGGTTCAATGGACGGACTCCTGTGACTCTTCAGAGGGGAAAGAAAAGTGGTGTTTTTTATTATAAATGTCTTGATGGCCTTCATCCTTATTTCTTCACCATGTCGGTAATAAACCTCAACTGTTTCAGGAAATGAAGACTTAAATGTCACAACCAGCACTTGATTTTTTTTTTTTCTCCACTGCCTACCATGTCCCCAAAGTGGTAACACTGAGAACTATCCTAACAATTGGGCAGTAAAATTCAAGCAAAACCAAAAAATCTTATTAGTGATGGTTAGTTATACTTTAATCTAAAAGGGTAAACTCATATCCTGTAGGAAATGGTACTTCTTCTAATTTACTGAGTGCCTAATATGTGCCTAATGTGTGTAGTAAGTGACCAATCTCAGTCCTCAAGGGGGTATTATGACTATTTTACATGAGGAAGCCTTCTGGATGAAAGGTGAGGAGTGGGGTAAATAGGTGGACATCTGGAACCTGTGCATGGTGCCCTTGGGGTCTAATCTGCCCAGGAATTAGGAGGCAATAATCTGTTTAACCTAAGTATGTGTGGCCTGGCCTTTGTACACCTCAAAGATGACCACATAGGAAAAGTAATCCCAACATTTGGTCCACAGCAGTGAAGTGACACAAGTACTGTAAACAGAAGCTGACAGCGAATCCTTTCTCTGATATCTGTTCATTGTAATGTCTTTAGTCATCAACAAAAACAAGTGAACTCCAAGAGAGCAGTTGGCTTCATTTACAGCTGTACTCCCATCACCCATCACCTAGTACTGAACATGGCATATAGAGATGCTCAGCAAGTACTAGGAAAGAATAGAGAAAGTCCATATGGGAAAATGGGCCAAAGACTACTAAGGATAAAGACATACTCTGCCCCCCCTTACCCCCCCAGGAACTTTTCAACCCTGACTCACAGGAAAGATGAATTCAAAGAAGTGAAATATAAATTGGGATCTCTGTTATGGGCCCTAGGGGGCAGCATGAAGCTTGCGGAAAAAAGATGAAATGGAAGGGCCAACCAAGGACAGAATAGGATTGCTAGTGTTTAACTTTTAAATGTGAATTCTTGACCTGAGATGTGTTTGCTCCTGCACTTAAATCATCTGTCCTTACCTTTTCTCACATCTCACATGTTTATTAAAGCATTGCTTTAATAACATACTTACATAGGCATGGTTGGCATGAGGCCATTATTTCAGGCCAGTGGAAGAGCAAAAGGGATTTCAAGCAGGCTATTTGTTGTTATAAAGCAAAATCAAACTTACTACATTTCCAAAGGTGAATAATATGATGGAGACAAGACCACCATGAAGCTAGAAACTTGGGAAAAATCATTTTAAAAGCTCATAAGCATATGTTACTCATGACTAAAGGCGTTGCACTGTTATGCAACACGAGTGTCAGGGGAACAATTTTCCAACCTCATGACTCATGCTTCTGTATTACACACAATACTAGGTGTTTCCTTCATTTTAAAGAAATGTGAACACAAGCATGTGTATAAAAATACCTGGTATCCATAGGATGCCAACAACAGCTAACAGATTAAGACAAATATAAGTTGACACTGTCATCAGAGTCCTTCTTCCAAGACGGAAAGTTACTCCACATTTTGAAAAGTACGACTGGATAGACAACTTCCTACCCTAGACCAGCGGGGTCCCTCCGTCTCTTTTCTAGAACCGGTCTCTGAACTGCCCAGATAGGGCAAGAGAGCTGCAGCGTGGGAAGAGGCCATACAAATCATTGTCCCCGCCGCATCCACACCTACAGAGATCTCCCTCTCCTTTGCCTGAAGGCGATCAGGGAGGGCTCCCAACTCTGCCCCACCAGGCCCGGGGGTGCCCCAGGTCTCCCGATCCGCCCGTAGCGCTCCACAGTGACCTGCGGGCCAGAGCCGATCGATCCACCGGTACCTGCTCCCGAGCTCCCCGGCGGCAGGCCCCGCGACGACACAGCTCTCTCGACCACACGATTTTCACCGACTTTATTGGCCCTCGACCCCGGCGGGCCCCTCCGCAGCCCACCTCCCCGCTAGATGGCGCCGGGACCCTCCTGGGCATCCGGCATATTCACACACACTGCGGGGCGGCCCGGAGAGGAGCCTCTGCTCGGGCAGCCGGCTCCCGGGTGCCGGCGTCGGGGTCACTTGCTCTTCGCCTTCTGACTCTCCGTCTTCTTGGGCAGCAGCACGGCCTGGATGTTGGGCAGGACGCCGCCCTGCGCGATGGTGACTTTGCCCAGCAGCTTGTTCAGCTCCTCGTCGTTGCGGATGGCGAGCTGCAGGTGCCGCGGGATGATCCTTGTCTTCTTGTTGTCGCGCGCGGCGTTGCCGGCCAGCTCCAGGATCTCCGCCGTCAGGTACTCCAGCACCGCCGCCAGGTACACCGGCGCGCCGGCTCCCACCCGCTCGGCGTAGTTGCCCTTGCGCAGTAGACGGTGCACACGCCCCACCGGGAACTGGAGACCC